CAAACACACTTATGCAAATCCATCCATCTTGTCTTCGTCTTCGCATTACCAAAATGTTCATGACTTCGTAAATAACCCCTGCCCGCGCTCTTTTTAAACCCGCTTCCCTTAAAAAGAAAATCGTATCAATCCTGATACCTCTCGTCCACAAACCTCGGATGAGGCAATATGTAACCATCGTAGCGTTCGCCTCTACTCTCCTCACTACTACTAACACTCGTACTTGGGCTTACCAACCCACTGCTTTCTGCTAACCCTGCCATTTCCTCATCAATACCAGTGGCTATTCTCCCATTAGTCCTACTTCCTGTCCCCTCAATTCCAAATCCAGTACCGCCTCCAAGTCCCATCCCCATTCCTATGCTTCCAAATCCAGTGGGTAGACTTCCGCCTACAAATCCTAACGGGTTGCCAGACACTCTTCTTGGGCCCCCATTTGCCTCCATCCCTTCTCCTACACTTCCCACTCTACTCAAAGCTGGTTTCTCAGGCAGTCCCTTTAATAACCCTGTACTCGTATCCAACATACCCATGGCCCATCTTGTCAGCTCGCCTCCTTTACAGCTGACTCCTAGCGTCCACCTGTATTCACCCAACCTCCTTCTATACCACTCAGCCTCCTCTCTGCCCGGCGCCGTCGCCCACAACAACGATCCAAAAGTTCCTATCAGCGCAAAGTTCGTCTTACTTGCGAAGTACCAGAAGGACCTCAGATGACTAGTCGTGAGTCGATTCACAAAATCCATGGCGGATATTAAGCGGGTTTTTGCTGCGCTACGGCAGATGTGCTGGATGTAAGGATCTGGCTGGGCAGGAGACGATTGTCCTTCGATTTTAATGTGAGCATGCGAGGAATTCGGAGGAGGCGTCAAGGAACGGATGATGCGACGATGAAGGGTGATTTCCGTCGCAAAATACGCGAGATGCAGGAAGCCGGTGGAGGATAAGGATAATTTCGAAGAGGTGGGAGGAGCGTCCATACGGAGACAGGCAGGTAGTGCCGAATACCAATCTTTAAGTTTGAGCTGTACGGGCTTCGCGAGTTGAAGGACAAGTACTGTGCCTTGGGCTCCAGCATTGGCCACATTAGACATAGCAGATAGCGTGTAGAAGGTGTCTAAAACTTCGGAGAGAATCAGAGAGAGGGCTATCATTTGACAGAAAAGTTGTCTGCCGCGATCGTGTTCGGCACTTTGCTCATCATTAGTCTCATCATGTTCGATATCCGGAAAATCATTCTGGGATAAGGGCAGAACAGCCCAATTCGTAGCGAAAATATGGGACGGACGTCCATGCACTAACGATCCCCATTTATCTTGCATATATAATGCCCAAGCGAGACGTTTGCGGAGTCCGCGTTCCCATGGCGGGATTTTCCAATTTGAACAGTCGAGATGAAGACCTAATTCTTGGGAAATTGCTACGAGTTGTGCGGTTGGTGCCCATTGGTCACCTTCTGGGGCTTGGGATAGTAAGAGTCCGGCTTGCACGGTCGATAGTTTGGGTCTGTTCATGGCATCTGACAATGTCACTCTCGCTAATCTTTCCAGTTCCTTGAGGTCGGGCCTAGGCAGATGTGCAAGTTCTTCACTGTGGTCCCACCAATTGATCGCAAGAATGTATACGGCAGCCAAAAGAGGTGGAGAAAATTCTCGGTAAGATCTGTTGTACTTCTCCCAAAATACATTCTTCTGAAGGATGGGAAAGTTTGGATGGATGATACGGAAATATAAATCCAGCAGTATGGGACCGTGTGGCGCCACCAGATCTTCAATCGCATCCACATCATCAATTTGATGTTCATGGCCGGGGGTCGTATGATCAGGAAGCATTAAAAACGTATCGACATCGCTCACTTTCCTTAATGTTCCTCTCGATAACAAACTCTCATCTTGTGGATCAAATGGTGATAAATCAATGAGTGAAGGCTCGAAATCTGTAGTTGGACCAATATATTGACTGAATCGATCATGCTGTAACCCCAATGTTCGCTTTAACAATGTTGGGCCCCCAATATTTGCCAAATCCTCGGTCAGTGAATTGGTAGCACCGGTACTAGATATGCTAGCCTCGTGGGGTCTGGATCTTTCGAAATTCCTGTCAGGAGATCTGCGAACCTGTCAGCCGTGATTTAAGAGCACACAAATTATCAAACATAACTTCACACACCTTCTTTTAGCGATGGATTCTTCCTTCCCATCCGTATTCAATTTTCTCTTCCTAGGCTGCGGACTTGACAGGAAGGTGCAATCCTGAGAATGAAATTGACAAAGAACACACGTGGACTGCCCCTCATTGATCACACATCTACTCTTCCTCCTCCTACAAGCATCACACGGTCTATCCTTTCGACTTCTCATGTTATTTCCTAGATCCATCGATGCCACACTACTCATACTCGTTGACAAACTAGAGATATCTCTGCCGTTTGATGAATTGTTGGGAGTGTCGAGAATTGTATCTAGATGAGGTTTCTTGGAAGCAATGGCAATTGGGGCAGTACGTGCTATAGAAGTTGGAGTCGACATGATGGCCACTGTGTAATAAGATTCTAGTGGAACAATCTCCGCCGAGATCGTCAACGACCAGGTTCCGTAAGTCTGTGTGAACCCGATGACCTGCTCTAGACCCTGGGGTTGATACCGCCGATACTGCAGCTGCCAGGGAAGATGGATGAGAAACGGGATTTTTGGCGTAGTCCCCTGTTCTCGGAGAAGCGCGATGGATGGCCGAGAATATGATAGCGTATAGGAACAGTCTAGTAATGCATAAAGCTGCCTCAAAGGGGAAGTCCAGCAAGATAGAAGAAGATATGATACCCCAAAAGATGTGAGTGGTTTGATGGACGGATTATCAGATACGCTTATCGATGTGTATCTCCACTCTATTGCCTGTCAAATATCTCTTGTTTACTGAGGTCCCGTAATCCGGATATACTTAAAAGAGCTTATCGGAGTTTGAAGTGGGAAAATTGTGGTGTCGTCTGCACTGCGAATCTGCAAGTTCCCGGTCTGTGTTGGACGGGTAGATAAGAAGAAAGCTTGGGTATGGTAAAACCAACCGCAAACAGAATAATTTTACTGATAATGGTAAATATTAAAAGCCTTCTATTCACTCCAGAGTTTTCTTCTCCCTGTTTGTCCGAAAGAATCAGGTTGGCCTGGAACTTAAAGAGAATTGTTAAAGTTGCTGACTAGATTCAGTGACTATCACTACTGCATGTGCCAGCTAGTGATTGAAGCAGGATGAGATGATGGATAGATTCCCACGTCATTGATGAGGAAAGAAATTCAACGGGAGCGTATTAGGGTTCAGAAACACTGAATGATATTGGTAAGAAGAACTCAATGAGAAGAAAGGAAAGGAAAGGAGATTAGAAGCTTAGGAGATATGGAGAGATGAAAGCTAGATCTGCATTTACTAGAAACAGTACTTTCGTAAGAGAAGCCCAGAATTCGGATGATATTGGCCGAACTGTTACCAAACTAGATGGTAATAATAAGAGTAACTGAGTAAGTGAGTAAGTTAAATGATTAGCAGGACAAATAGCTAGTTAATCCCGCGTTGTCAACACGTTCTCCCATGTTTTAAAGACGTAGCTTTGGCGTCCTTTTTTTCATGCTGCAAGATAAGGCGAAGGGACCAATATAAGATCCGACCGATATCTCTATCAAACAGAAATAATTATTTTTACATTAATCTACTAATCCGTACCTCGCATCTGCATTGCCGGTACGATGGGGGCACATCCACATCCAACCCTAGAAGAATTTGGGTAACGGTAACCTACGTAGGTTTGGTAAGTTTTTGATAATTCGTCTAGTCTGCAACGTAGACGATGAGCATTTCCCTGGCTGTTGGCTAATATTTGGTCATCAATCTTGGAAAAGCTACACAGAGATTGGAAGCTTTCCGACTTCCCCTACTCGAGCAGACCTCGTTTGAGTCGGGTTGACTCTTTTCAATGCTTACGCTTTGATCAACTTAACGTCCTAGACATACTTAGAACATAGTTTTAATGACACCAGAATATGTATGAATATGCATCTTCAATGAGCTATCCACGTGGATGCAACCAATCACCATATCTTATACGTAATTTTTTGAAACGCAAAACCTTTCATTGGATACATGTGAAGAATTACTTAAAACTTATGGAGTTTGTAACATCCCATACATCCCATCGATTTCTCAATCTATTTATCTATTTCGACATTTCAACCACTCAACGTACGACATTTCCTTATCGTCTCTCAAACATCCTATCTCTTGGATCCTTGTTGCTGCAGCCCCCCTTTCGGCTACCCAAATTATGATGCTATCCTGACTTTATACATATGCTAAGTTGCTCAGCCACTTAGCCAAGGCATAATCAAAGGTATCTTTGCAGAGTATTGTGTAGGTATAGCGGCAGCATGGGCTCCATACGTACATATCTATCCAGATCCAAGCAATGATGTTGATATCTAATGATCTAATCTAAACATGATCTTCTAACCCCACAACACACGACCCCTCTAGTGCATGATTATTGCTAAAAGAAACCTCCCAAACCCTCCAAACCCCGGTAGCTATTGGTCATACATCAGTTAAACTTCCATCCATCTTTCCAGCAGTTCCTACTCCATGCTAATCCAGCACGTTGAATTGCCAATGTGTGAGGAAAACTCTCAGGGCCCTTTTCGTGGGTGGTTGAATTGTTATGTAATTCCGAGATTGACGCACATCCGAATTGCACTTTGAAATTGTTTTGTGTCACATAATTCGGGTGGCTTGATTGTGAAGAAAGTGGGATTATGGGGTGTGTGCGATATCCAGATTTGCAGTCATAACAACATGCGTGATCGGAGTATCTAAGAGAGTCCTGGAAAAAGCCAAACGCCGAATGGCTATTGGGGATAAGGCGGTGAGCTTCTACAAAGATTATGTTCTTTCATTGCTGTTGCATTGCTGCATGCTGACGGTACATATCAATCTCTTACCTCATTGATTGAAACCGAATGTCACTGACAGTCGATTTCGGAAATTGCGCGTGGGAGAAAATCGAAGTTTTCGTGGAGAAAAGGCGGTATGCTATGGTAGTGGTATTTTAGGTAAGAGTTAGGCATTCAAAAGGAAAATCCAGTGGTGTATTACATGAAAGACGTGTAACATCACCAAGCTTTGTCGGCAGCTTTGCTGCGTTGCTGGTGGCCATCACCGCTGCCCAACTGTGGATGAAATACCTCCGAGCAGCTGGCTTATTGTACCGGAGACCTCCGGAACGCTTTCGAGAATGAACTGTCAACACGAAATTAAAAGGATCTCATTCGTTGCTCCATGCTCTCAGATATCAAGAATATCAAGAATATCAAGATTCAAGAAAAGTCAACAGCGGGGCGACAAGTATTGTACCCCGCATTCGTGAATCACGCATGAACCACGATAAGCAGTCTCTTATCGTTCCACAAACACAGCATTAGAACTTGACTCGGAGTCTTAAATGAAACGACATCGTGAGCACTGTAGATCCTTAAGGATCAAGATGAGCAGCAAGAGTATTCCCCCTGAACAGGACGACGTGAGGCGACATTCAAAAGGCAACGACAGAGGGTTACTAAATCTTTCTACTGCTTCTTTTCGATTCTCTCATTTATGCACGTCATATTGTACAACACTTGAAGCCAAGACCTATTGATCATATCATTTGCACCAAGAGGTTCTCGAAAATCAATCTAGTCCTGCAAAGCCTCTAGCGCGCCTGGCAGTTGAAACATGACGGAACAATTCGAGGGGTGGGCTTCAAAGCATTTTTCGGCTACCAGGTTGGAATCTTTCGATGTCTTCTGCGAGATGATCAATTGTAAAGTGCAAAACCCCCCAGGGGGTTGGATATTCGTATATGTATATCCTGTAGAGATTGCTCGTATCTCGAGGACAGTCTTGAGAACGAGCTCAACTCTCTACCCTCCGAATATATTGGGATTGCCTCAATATCCTGGCCCTTTATTCCGCTGTATAAAACACAGGTAAAGGTGAAGAAGATGTGAAGTAATGGATCAAAGAATATTTCAGAGGAGCGCTAGTGGCCGCTCCTGCCCCTTTTCGCCATTCTTCGCTTACTCTTTTATGGATGGGATCAATCGCATGATGACATCTCTTCAATCTTATCATACCGGTGTCCTTGACGTTGGATACTCAGATTGACGTCTTCCATATCTTATTGCTTGCTGTGGTATTTTTATGATTCCATATTACGAGACGGTAAGTAAATCAATACAATCGATCAAATTATGCAAATCAGGTCTGCTTCACCTCACGCGACAATCTCGAGTATTCATTCGATGTAGAAGGGATCTCAAAGTGTCAGAAGCGAGCATCTCAACAGATAATCGAGCAAAGGTAAGGGGGGCTTTAGTACTAAAACGAGATTTCGAAAGTATTACTCAATTTCGTCAAAAAAAAAAACTATGAATGCCAATGGAAAATGAGGGAGTTTGGAAATACAGAGGGTAGGAAGGTAGTTAGTATTAATCTCTATCTATAAAAACTTTCTAAGTGCATTTACAATATCTTCAGAGCAATACTACACATGTACCACGCTCAATATCACAGCGATAGATCAAAAGGGGGGGGCTCCAAAACCATCAGAATTTGTTGGTTGTGAGACTTCAACAGAACTCCCCCCAAAAAACGTTTTTACGAGAAGTTAAGTTATGAAGAAGCAGCCTAATGAAGGGGTTGCGTTTGTCTCAGCTCTGATGTCTTTGAGATGAGGAAAATCAAGTCTGACTTCATTGTCATCGCGTTAAAGGGATTCCCGTAGTTTGGTTGGAGCAGAGGGCAAACGGGATGTATCAGACGCGGGGTTATGTTCACAGGCAGTTTCCAAAAGGTCCCAAGATTTCGATGGTTGAAATCTATAAAATCAGTCAAATTAATTCTTTTTCATAGATCCAGACAATGACTGGTAAGCCACCAATATAATCCATCATTGTATATCTAACTAAAATAAAATTGGTATTATCTCTGGCCATCTCTTATTAGGTCTTAACGCCATATGTCATCTAGGAGTCAACGTTTGCACTTCTCTCTGCAACCGCTCTTGCTTCCGCTTCTAGCAATCTCCTCTCCTCCTCTGCTTTATCATCGTGAGTCTGATGACCGGCAAAAATAGCCAGTAGCCCTAGATCATAGAAGGCTTTAAGGATTCCAGCGGAGACAAATACAACCCAGAAAAGATTTTGTCCAGCCAACACGCCCGTGATTACTGGGCCAAGACTTTGCGCAGACGTCTTAACGACATTCAGAAGTCCCATGACCGCAGTGCGTTCGTGGGAATGTACGACTGCAGCGATAAAGGCAGCACGCGGTACTCCGTCCATAGATGATGTGGAGTGCCGGAGTATGAGAAAGATTATCGCAAAGGGAAGGCTAGAAGGTACGGGGATCAGAGCGAGAAAGATAGTGGAGGGAAGATGAGTAAATGCCATTGTCTGTTGGAGGTACTGTGTTAGAAACAACTGCATCGTGAGAGGAGTTGAAAGATTACCTTGACATTTCCAAAACGTTTTGCTAAAGATGAAGCAACTAGCATTGAGCAAGCTGATATGATACTTGTGGTGAAGAAAAGAGAGCCCAATTTCCCTTCTTCGATGCCAAACTTCTCATGGAAGAAATAGGTCACCCATGAGCTGTGTTCCTCTAATTAGCTTAACAGGGCACGTGTAGAATGGAATCAGACTCACAGCGGTACAAGACCGGACGCAAAAGAATCAAGCCCCAGCAAGAGGCAAAGATTTAACACGATGACTCTGCTCTCCTTACTTATATCGGGCAACTTTGAGACAAAATAACCTTTTTTCGTAGCAACCACCTCTTCAACTCCGTCGCCCAACAATGGAGCAATTTCCGGATCCTCGACCGGTGAGTATTTTTCCTCAATCTCCACTGCTTGACTTAGTCCTACTGAAAGTAGAAATTTAATGAATCCGAATAGCGCGTAGCTCCAAAATACAGCTCGATATGTAGAGACATCAGTCCAGCCACACTCATTCCTCAAGTAATTGATGACCCAACCAGAAATAACAAATCCAAACGCCTGACCCGCTGTTCCTATCAACGAATACCACGCATATATGTCGCTTCGATTTGATGCGGGGGTAAGTTGTGCAAGAGTGGATTCTTCGATTGCTCTGAAAGGACCTATTTCATTTCCACTTTGAACGTGATATCAGCAACTCTGAACGGCGACAAATTAGGCTGTATCATACCTGGGACTGATAACTCCCAAAACAGCAGCAGCAAGTAGAACCCAATAGTTCTCACAAGTCGCAAAAACAATGCCGCTCCCCATCATTAACCCTGAGCCCACCGCCAATATAGATTTCCTTCCCAGCGCATCTGCGAATAATGTAAGAACAAAGCTAATCAATGTATCGCCAACCAATGTTAAGGTCATGAAGACCCCTATCTTCGTCTTGGAAATTTGAAGTATAGATAGATATTCAACGAGAATGAGGGTAGCTGTGGCATATGCAAACATTCGGGTGAAGCGTTGAAGGCATAGAAGTTTTGTATCGAGGGGTGATTTGTAGAGAGTGATGAGGCCCACCTCAGCGATGAAATGATGGAAGTATCTCAAAACCATTGTGAATTACAGTACCTGTGCCGGTTGTGAACGAAGGTCTGGAGGGGAGCTTGAGATTCCGGATCTTTGGACTGTGGAAGAGTCAATGTGAAACTTCATGTATCTAAATTCTGACTGCAGATCGAAGGATACAAGAAAAGAAGCAACAAGAAACGATAATGGCAATGGAAATGAAAATAGAAATGAGAGTATTTTTATGTCTCCAATACTTAGCTGAGATACAATAGAATTTCAAACGAAACCCAGTTGCAGCTATTTATACTAATTAAGGAACGGGATGGGAATAATTTTCTCTCCTCATTTCGAGACTGAAGCCTGGATTTAAGAGAGTTATTAGGGGTCCATCATTGATAGCGATGTCGACATCCTAGCACCATCGTCTGATAAGGTTAAGATTGACAACCGCGAGACAACTACAATTCATCCACGACCGGTGAACAATTCTTTACGGTCAATGTACCCATTGACAGATATGAAAACACCTCATCAATTGAGCTTAACTTACAACATCATGAAAACAGGCAAGGCAGATTATCTCATGAGCTACTTGTGTGGAAAATGGAAATCGCGGTTTGTAAATCACGATGATGGGAGCCTTGCTTCCAAATGTCCAACAACAAGAATGGCGTAGCTTTGACATGGCCATTTTATTCTACAAGCGTAGATTCGAGGGAGTCCTTGGCCTTGGGCATATTATCAGTTACCTTTCAGTAAGGGGCGATTCTCTTTGTGAGACATAGTCCAATGCGGAAACTGCATGCCGAAGATATCTTTGTTGTGAAAATTGATATCTTCATTTGATCTCATGTCAAAACCTACAACATTCTCAAGCTGAGTTATCATCATGGCACCTAAAAAAGATACAAATGTTACCCTCGCCAGAGTGAGATTGCCCCGGGCAGCAAAAGACAAACCGAAGACATCACCTGAACTTGTTCCAAAGACTACGCCCCAAACAATCAAGAAAGTTCCAGGTCGTTCAAAGAAATCCGTTCCTGAGACAATATCCACCTCAGAAACAAACCCGGCTCGCAAAGTGAAAGGGAAAAGACGAGCAGTGACTACGAGAGAGCCCTCGAGATCTACTCCCAATGATCAAATAATACGTCAAGAAGCAACCTATCCTAATCCATTCTCCACAGAAAGCTCTCGTAAGAACACCGCAGCTTTGCTCTCTCAATGGGATTCCACCAAGTCTCCAGCTTTTTATTCACCAAATTCGGGAAATGGGCTGGTCAATGGAACTCCAAAGTCTAAGTCGCCAAGATCTGCGAGATCCAAGCATGATAGATCATGCTCGATATTGGATAAAGGGCATATTGCTATTCCCCCACCTTATTCGAAAGACAGAGGAGAGCAAACTTCCCAGCTCTTCGATGCCAACAAACAACAACGTTTGAATTCCTTGGCGGAAGGAAAGTTCCCAGATCCGACTTACCCGCGGGCGAGTATATCCGGTGGAACGGAACCTTCTCCGGGCTTCAATGCCGCTATGGGATTCAGATACTCTCCAGGATTTGGGGGACCGCATGGCTTCAACACGAGTCCAAGAAACCAATCTGGTTTTAATCTGGCGCGAAATAGTTCTACAGTACCAGGAACTGGAGTTTTATCATCCTCGGGGAGTATCAAAACAGTAGACCAAACCAA